TAAATTTTTCATCGGTCCTTCAAATTTCAACTTCTAAAAAAACAAAGCTCACCATCCGGTGAATAAAAATGATAGCAATTGTTATTAAAGTAAACTGGTCGATAATAGCAATTTGTAAGTGCTTAGCAGATAATTGATAATTGGTAAACACAATTTAATTCATTAAATAAAACAATATTTGACATGGGAAAGACTTAAACCAACAATTCTAACCCAATAATAATTTAAATATTTAAATGTAACTATTTCAGGCATTGTAGGTCGACAATTAATACTAAGTAATTTTTCTAGCAATGGAATTAACCCATTAAACTCTTTGAACATTTGAAACCGTTCTAAATAGATAAATCCGCGGCATTTTGCTTTCACTTTATCGATTTAAATGCCCGACATGATAACAGCGCCGGTTGTACTTTATTGAATTAATGAATTGCAATAAATCGGTGTTTATTACCCGATAAGTAATCGGCTTTTGAGTTTCCGATAAGCTCGCTTCACTCGTATATACATAGATCGCATCCCAAACTCTCAACTCTGATTGTTAGTACAACTTTCGTTGTTAACCCGCGGCTGAAAATGACGCGCGCTGTCTGGCTTATTCATATGTAGTTTGTTAAAACAGAGATCTGCTTATCTACTTCGGTATTAAGTTTCAACCCGACACGCTAATTAAAACTTTTAAAGATGATTAAACTCAATTACGCTGATTAACTTTGTATTAGTTTCTAAGCTTAAACTTTTATTTTATGTCATTGATCAATAATTAATTACCCTTGAAGATTAAAAATTTATTATTTATTTATTTAAATATTTTACGCCTATAATTTTTTTAATTAATTAAAATTTTAAAAATAAATTTCCTAACAATTATTTTAATTAAAAAAATGTAGTAGTTATTTTTAATTTTTTACTGTATTAAATTTATAAATAATTTTGTTCATTTTGATTGAACATTTTTTATTTATTATTATTACGGTTCATTTAATAAAATTTATTTTAATTAATTTTGCAAAGTGGACATTAAAAACTCTCTTATTTTTGTTATTTATTGATATAAATCAACAGTACGGTCCAGAAAGAGTGGATGTAAATTCGCAACAATTCAAGTGGTAGGCGTATTAAATAGTTAAAATTAAATAGTTAAAACGTCAACATTATTCAACCTCTACAGGATGATAGATATCATCCGGGCTTATTCAAATAAAATAAAACCAAGTATGGCTGTGATAAATATTTGCTTTCTTATAATCAAAATTTTAAGTGCAAATAAGATTATTATTTTGTGAGTATCCTTGATAATTTATTTGTCGAGTTAATGGGTGGTTATTTTTATGAAAAATCATTGTGAAAAATACGGTTTATGATGGATAAGCGATAATTGATATTGAGACAGAAATATAGCCTTAATGTCTTCTGTATTTATTTTCACTTGACATTAATTAAGGACGTCAGAGTATACATCACTCTATATATAAATTCAATGGATTTATTCTTATGCTAAATTATTTATCTCGGTCAATTTTTCGAATTTTTTAATTTTTCTTCAAAATTTATTATAAAAAAAATTTTTTCACAATTTTTTTATTTTTAATTTTTTTCCAAAATTTATTATAAAAAAAATTTTTTCCCAATTTTTTTCAAAAATTAAAAAAAAGTTTTTTATTATAAAAAATCAGAATTAATTTTTAATAAAAAAAAAAAGTTTTCTAGCTATTAAATCTGAACCCGAAAAAAATCATTAATAAAAATCTTGTAAATTTAAAATAAAATTAATAAAAAAAAAATTTTCTAGCTATTATAATCTAAGCCCGAAAAAAATCATTAATAAAAATTTTGTAAATTTAAAATAAAATTAATAAAAAAAAAAATTTCTAGCTATTAAATTTAAGCCCGAAGAAAATCATTAATAAAAATCTTGTAAATTTAAAATAAAATAAATAAAAAAATGCCATTAAAAAAAATTAGTATTTAATAACAGGCTTATCGATTAGCTGTCAAAAGTTTCTTAGGCATTAAAAAAAATCACCGGCGATTGACACGCATACAAAACAATATACAGTATCTACTTAATAATACAATAAAATGAGTTGATGGTATAGCATAAAAGCATTAGAACAGAGCGTTGAATTATCGCGTGATATCAGTGCGCGTGTCCCGGGTAAAGCGGAGTACCTCGCGCAGAAGCAACACCAATGTTCAATGCTCAATGTACTCGTTGAAGACGACAACAACCACCACTGAAAGCTACAACCAGCTGATAATATTCAGCTGACTGACGAATGTTAATGTTTAGTTGACGCCGCTACTCAGTTTATTGTTAACACTCCGAGCTGCCGGTCACGACACCAATCAAACACGACCGTGATAACTGATAACATATATTTTATTCAAATATTTGAATAATTAGGGTTCGTTGAGAGTCGCTGGTTGTTTACTTCTTCAAATTTTTCCTTTGACCTGAAACAGAATCTTTGTGTACAATAAAATATTTAGTATTGTATATTTTGTACAAACATGTTCTTCTGTTATTAGCGTTATCTTGAATAAATAATTAGTATTTATGTGAATCAACAGGATTTACGTGCCAACTTTTATTATTAATTATTTTAACTTTGTGATTTTTTTTATTTGTTTTGCTGAAATTTTATTTATTTATATAATATTATAATTATAATTTTTTTTAATGAATAAAGGGAAGCTATTCTTCTTCGTAATCTCGTCTTCTATTCAAAGCACTTTATTGATGTGATTGATGATTTATTGATCGATAAAATAAAAATCTTTGTTTTAAATTATTTATCAGTAACGGAGCAAAAATTTTAAATCAAACTCTCGGTGATTCGGCAGCTAAAGTTTTGCAATTAAAATAAATATATCAAATGTTAATTAAGTGTAATTGTACCTGAAATTTCGTGTTTACTGAAAGTTATTTCATCTAGTAAGCCTTGGGTTGTATTACAAGTTTTTTTTGAGTTTAATGAACGCGCGGGGAAGTGAGTGTGTCATGCTTGTTTTCAAATAAATTATTACAATAGAGGTAATTATGTTCTATTATTGTAAGACAGTATTTTATTTTCTATTGTTATTGATTTTAATTTATTAGCTAGCCACGTAAATATTTTTGGGATTCTATTTAAAGATATGACTGGCATCTTTACCACTTTTCCAATAATTTACAAACTATTTAATCGATAGAGAAATATACTACAGTTATAATAGGGTTAATAAATTCCGTTATAAATAACTTTTGCGTCGGATTAAATGCTTTTTAATTTCTTTTTTTCAAGTTTAATTATAATTGGTATCGAGTGCTTCGCTTTTAATTAAATTTTCAATACAAGAATTTAATTATTTTGATTCTTTTTGTAAATCGTTTTCAATTTAAACGTTCAATAAAATATTTAATACAAACTTTTACTTTTTTTTTTTAATTTGAGTTTTTCTTAAAATTATTATAAATTTTTATTTTGGGAAAAATTTATCAAAAAAACTATTTCAATTTTTTTGCAAGTAAATTTTTTTTTGGGCGTTAAAAAAAAATTATTCATAAAATTTGACGCACTGTTTTTTTTCCTTTCATACATTTTACATGAACATTCCTTTATTGTCTTAACTATTCGTTTGTGGAAAGACTTACCAACTGAAGTTGTAAATTCTCAGAGTCTAGAAATTTTTAAAAACAAAATGTTTGGCTATTTGCTAGAACTTGGACTTAAAGATCACTAATCTTTCATTATCTTTCTAAAATTTCTCTATAAATGGGTTGTTTATGATTAATCAAATTTAAAATTTATCAAACTGTTATGTATTACTTAAAATATCCTAGTTGTTAAATTGCTAAATTGTTTAATTAATCTAGTTATTGTATTTCAAATTATGTACAAATATTGTTGCTCTTTAAATTTCTTACGTGATACTATGTAAATATATTACTGTGGTATACAAAATTATTCTTTGTATAAAACTTGCCATTCGGCAATTGCCTTGGCATATTTTTCCAAATAAATAAAAATAAAATAAAAATTTTTAAAGGAAAAATTAAAAAAATTTTAATGACAAATTCATTATAAAGTCACATTTATTTTAAAGTATGAAATTCTCCTTAAAAAAATTTTTTTTTGCATGAATAAGAATTTATTATTTTTAAAAATAAAATTTTTAATTAAAATTATTTTACTAATTTGTAATAAAAAATTAATTGTCAAAATTTTCCTTTTAAATTTCTTGTAAATTCTCCCATGACTAAGAAAAATTCTAAAGAGTTCTTCTACCTTGTTTACTTCCCCAGAAAAATAAAAGCATCTCATCAAAAATAGAACCAAGAACTTGTCCGGGAGTTTCCGCGTGAAGAAAGTACTTGATAAATTTTTGGTGTGAATTCAAAGTAAGCAAACAAGAGAAAGCTCCTCAAAGAACGTTAGACACTCAAACGTAATGAAAACGTGCTACAATTAGTCTAATTTTCTTCAGAGTTACAGCAATTGAAAAAACCAACATAAACATGTATAAATAAATCCTCAGCAATTATTCCGCGTCTTACCTCAACCTAAATATTAAACTCTATTTTTAGTCCGCGGTAATTTTAATAATTTACAATAATAATTTAATCATTATTAAGTTATTCATCTATCGATTTCCAAGATATCGCATGAAAGACACGGTAACTCCGACCTAGCAATCCAATAATGAGCGTTACAGATTTAATAAAACTTAGATGCTCGTCATTACCGCTACTCGTTTTCGCAAGTTTCCTTCTCCATTCTTAATTCCGAGTTGTTAAAATTATTCCAGCGAAGGTATCGCTATTTTCCTCGATAACGTAATTGAAAAAGTTTCCGCAATATTTCATTCCTATCTATGAGGAATAATAGCGCCGTAAAGATAATTTGCCTGATCGATTTTTCCAGGTACCTTGACATTTGTGCAACACTGCTGTTATTATACCAAACAGCAATTTTCGATATTTAATTAAAAGTTTTATTAAAAACTAGCTATCAAAAATGAGTCGAGCGTCAGCGGATTATGTTAAAGCTGTCGAATGCGGCATCCAACCTACAGAGGTAATTAATCTTGAAATTATTATGATTATGTATGTATATTTATTCATTATCAATTCGTATTCTCAGTATAGGTACCCAATGAATCAATCTCTTTATTCTCACTCTGCATTCTTGAGATAAAAAATTCTGCAGCATCAACACTACAATTATTTTAATAACCATACGATGTTTCTTTCCTGCTACTAGCGTACATTTTTAATTTATTTAATCGACCAGGAAAGAATAATTAAAATCATTTGTTTTTACGCTTACGAAACACTTTTATCTACTCAGATTAATTTTATGATTAGCAAATATTTTTCAACACGACTGATGACTGATAAAAGTTATTTTATGTCGAAATATATTTCATAGATTTTTTTATTATTTTTATAGACCGTCGAAACTAAAATTTACAGAAGAAGATGGTTTATTTTGGCGATTTTTGTAGTCTACAGTGCATCAAGTGCTATGCAATGGATTCAGTACAGTATTATTACGGATATTGTAATGAAATATTACAAAGTAGATGCATTTATGGTGGATATGACGAGTATGATCTACATGATTACTTACATACCTTTTATTTTTCCTGCTAGTTATGTATTGGATAAATATGTGAGTACATTTCATTCTTACGATTCATTTTTATAGTTTTAATTTATCATTTAGGCCGAAGGAAGTTTTTATAATTTAAAAAAAATCAAAAACATTTATTTATAAATACTGATAAAAATTATGACACTGAAGTTGACAGACATTAAAAATTTTTTTAGAATTTTATGGTAATTAAATTATTATAAAAAAAAATTTAATAAAAAAATTCTACACGAAGAAAAATTAATTATACTACCTACTATACAAAAATAGTAACTCCTACTATCTAAAATGGTTATAAAATTAATTAGTAACAAAATAATAGGTGGTATCATTGACAATTGTAATAGTTACTATTAGTAATGGTAATGATTACTATCGAAAATAATAATTGTAATTATTATAAATTATAACTGTTACAATCGACGATGGTAACTGTAACCATCTCAGATTGTAAAAATTCTGAAAGAAAAAATAATATAAGTTTACTTAACAATTAAATCCTTTATTTACATCTAATTTTATCTAATGTACATTTTTTTCTTTGAAATATTAAAATATTATAAATTCCCTCGAAAATTTGATTTTTTTGATTTAAAATTTGTTTTTTGAAATTTTAATTTGAATTTTATTGAAAATTTTGATTATTTTGGAAATTTCAAAGAAAAATTTGGCGTTGAAGCTTAGATAGTAGTTATTATTATTACTAATGGTAACTGCAACCATTATCAGGTTATATTAGGAATTACGATTTTGATAATAGTAGTAACTAATTAAAATAATAACAGTTATTATTACTGATTATGATTACCATTATAATAGTAGTAGTAGTTACCCTCAGGATGGTAAATACTACAATTCAGATGGTTTACTTAATTATTTAAATAATATTTACTACTATTGAATTCAGTTAATAAATTTTAACATAACTAGATAATAAATTCTACTATAAAATTTTCTCCGTGTACATGTGAAAATTAATAAAAATTTTTAGAAGCATTTTTTTATTATAATTGATTTGTTATAAAATTTTTTAAAATTGACAGCTGACAGCTAACTTCAGTATCATTAAAAATTAACTGAATTTGAGAAACTTAAAATGATGAAATTGTTCAAAATTATTTTTTATTAATGCAAAAATAAATTTTTTTTTAAACTGACATTTATTTTATCTAATTATAATTATAATTATTATTAAAGGGCTTGAGGTACGCTGCATTAGCCGGAGGATTGGGAACAGCCCTAGGTTCATGGGTAAAAGTATTCAGTGTTGAGCAAGACCAATTTTTGATCGCATTTATCGGACACACAATTGTTGCATCAAGTCAGTGCTTTATTTTGTCAGTCCCCGCAAGACTAGCCGCGGTTTGGTTTGGACCAGATCAAGTCAGCAGTGCATGTAGTATTGGTGTCTTTGGTAATCAAGTATGTCAATTTTAATTAATCTAATAAAAAATAAAATAATAATAGTCGAGAGAAGATAACAAATTTTTTTTCTCCGTGTTCGTTTAATTAGGTGTTATAATAGATAAAATGAATAATTGGATTCATTAATAAATGTAATAGAAGAAAATTTGGTGCATGATTATCTGATGGGAAGTAATCACTGCAAGCGGCTAGACCTACTGGTGATATTAAACTGGCGAGCCACCAAAGGGGTCGAACCCTTCGTGTATTATCAGGAGAATATAATTCATACTCGTGTAACATTCCCACGACATAATAATAGTCATAGTAATAATAATAATAATAATAAATAATTCAATTTGCTCAAGGTATCGAATCTCGTTTGCTTGTTCATACAATTACACGCTGAACACGGAAGTAAAAGAGTATTATTGCTATTATTTACTACGACACGAGATTATATTTATTGATGAAATTTCTTTTAAAGTTCAAGGATTTTCAGAACGCCAATAAAAAATCTCTGTTTATTGACAATCCAAAAAATCACTAGCTCAAATTTTAATCAAAAATATTCTTCAGATAATAAATTTTCTACCCTCCGTGCGGAAAGCGTCAATTTTCTGCTCGCTGCGCTAAACGAAAATGCCGCTTTCCGCCTCCGTCGAGGAGAAAAATAGTATTCTCACCACGGGCAGGAAATAAGAAAGTCTCAGATCACATGTTTGTCGACCTCGGCTTCGCCTCGGTCAACAATTACATGTAATCTGAGACATTTCTTATTTTCCTGCCCCAGGTAAGAAAAATACTATTAAAAACAAATTGCTTTAAAGTTTGCAGTGAAAATATTTTTCACTTCCTTGCTCACAAATTTCCGCTAAAAAAATGATGAGACTTTTATACTCCGATAAAGTTTGCCATAGTATGAATAATTTTCTCTCGTAGCATCCAGCGAGTCTAGACATCCGCACTGCACGCGGACTAGAATAAAAATAAATCCGCTACCGTGCGAGCAAATTGAATTTGATTATGATTATAGTTATTCACAGTTAAGTAATGACATTTGAACTTGAATTCATTATCGACAATAACAACTAACCGTACAACCACGTAACACCTAACAATAATAATTACAATTACAGCCCGCAATTAATTTTAATAACAAGTATTGCGTGATCCTCTTTTTATTAAAAAAAATTAATTGTGATAATCTTTTATCCAGCTGGGTATCGCCATCGGGTTCCTGTTTCCCCCGATGCTGGTCAAAGATAGCCCGGATCCGGCGATCGTCAGAGATGGACTAAAAATTATGAATTACATGAACGCTTCTATAACTACCGTCATTTTCCTATTAATTTTATTCTGTAAGCCCAAAAATTTACATCAAAAAAAATTTACACGCTCCAAATTCTTACACTTGATAATTAATATTGTAAATTTCCAGTCTTCAAAGCAAAGCCTCCACTACCTCCAAGCCCGGTCCAGGCTGTGCAAAATGAGCTAGAGAAATCCGACAACTTCTTCCAATCACTAAAAAGACTCGGGCTGAATTTTGGCTACGTAATGTTGCTGTTAAGTTACGGAATAAATGTCGGGATCTTCTACGCCATAAGCACCGTTCTAAGCCGCATTGTTACAAGTCACTTCCCCGTATGTATATTCATAATATTTGTTAGTAAGTAATTGAATTACGGAACAATTGAATAATGGAGTAATTTTTGAAGGGAGCGCAAGAAGATGCTGGTCGTATGGGGCTTGCAATTGTCTGCGCTGGTATGTTGGGCTCTGTAATGTGTGGAGTGATTCTTGACAAGACTCGGCGGTTCAAGTAATGATTTATTTTTTATGATTATTTGCTTTTGAAGGAGATTAGTGGAACATAATTTTGTTTGTTTTGTTTTCAGAGAAACGACTCTCGTTGTTTATATTTTTTCTTTGCTGGGATTAGTTGTATTTACGTTTACATTAAACTCTGGATCAATAATAGTCTTTTATGCGACCTTATCTTTATTAGGGTTTGTATTAATAATAATAACCATTTATTTTTCGATATTAATCGTTTATTCGTTAAGTTAGTACATGAATCATGATTTTTCCTGTAAGGAAAAAAATTATCTGTGAAAATTCCATAAACTTTTATTTTTGAATAATTTTATGTTCATAAAAAAAAAATTGTTAAATTTATAAATATTAATATGCTTAAATTTAGAGGTCAAAGTAACTCTAATTAAAAAGTGTCAAATGCTTTAAAAATTTTTTCAAAAATATTTCTTTTAAATTTTCCAAAAAAAAAATTCTTATTTTATAAAACAAAAAATATTTTTTAATTATTTTGAAAGCAAAATAAATTTTTTTCTTCTTTCAAATTGCGTAATAGTATATTAACAAACAAATTTGTTACAAAAAATTATTCATTAAAAATTGAATTTTTTATTTTACAAAATTCCTACATGTCAATTTAAAAAAAATTTTTTTGTCATAATTTATTTTTTACAAAAATTATTAAAATTATCAAATTTCTGCTACATTAATTTTCATCACAATTAAACAGCTCAATATTAGTTAATTATTTTTTTTTTTAATATTTCTAGAGCTTTTAGGAGAAAAAAAAATTTTTTTACAAAATTTTTGGGATTCTCCATATTGTCTCCCCCTTTTTTTAAATTTAGACTTTGTAAATTTGACAGTTTTTTCCTGTAATTTTTTTTTTTCGTAATATGATAAATAAATTTTTCTTTTATAGATTTTTCATGACTGGTTACCTACCAGTAGGTTTTGAATTCGCAGCAGAGCTGACCTACCCAGAACCAGAAGGAACATCTGCCGGTCTATTAAACGCACTGGTCCAAGTGTTTGGAATAATATTTATCATAGTTTACGGGTACCTAATCGATGTAACCTCCGATTTTTGGGCATCGCTTGCTCTCTGTGGAATTTTAGCAGTCGGGGCAGTGATAACAGCTATCATTCCCAACAATTTAAGACGGCAGAACGCTAAATAATCCATTAAAAAAATTTAGCGCTTCTATTTAGCTAGACGAATGTTATCAGTTACAGTAATTGGTACCTCACAGTCACAATTACTACTTCTATACCTGACGTTGTATCTAGTTATAATATATTATATAATAGAAATACCAAGTTCGAGTATTCGCGAACAGCCACAACTTTTGTGCCAAACTTTGGGGATTAAATATTTAAATAGATTCCAGAACTAAAAAAATGAAAAAATATATTTATTAAATGTTACAATTACAACGAAAGAGTTTATTGTAGAGAAGATTATAGATAAATATATATGAATAATGTATTTTAATATTTAGGGACCAGGGAGGGGAAACACATAAATTTATGCATGAAAAAACTACTATTTTTATAGGGCTCATCGCCATTTTGACGCCGTAGAAGCCTATTGTTACTATTTATTTACTGTTTTAATGAGTTTTAAATGAGTAATAGACAATAATAGATCAAAAATAACCGATAATTTAACTAAGTTGATTAATACCCAAGTCTGATATATTTATAAACTTATTTTTTGACTGGCTAGCGGTTTTTTTTACAGAGTAAATAATTAATATGCATTTAAAAATAATTATTTAACAGTATTTTTTAAAAGACAATTCGACGCCTATCTAGATTTAATTTTTTAGCGGTAATTGTTTAGAGTATTGATGAGACAATAATTATTATTATAAATAAAAAATAAAAAAAAATAAATACATATTTTAAATATAAGCATTGTAATAATTGTACTATATGTATTGAATGTGTATTGTTATTAAATTATTGATATTGTATGTATAAATTCTGGATGTATATTAGAATATTGAATTATATTTTTTGAGATATTCATTGATGGGCTAATAATTATTATTTATTTTTCCCAAATTTATTTCTTTATTATTGATAAAAAATTTTATTTTTTTTGCTTCGACAAAATTTGTCTTGTCTAAAAATTAAAAAACTGCAAAATTTATTATTTTTATTATTAAATAATCAATTAAAAATTAATTCAAAATTTTCATTATTAAATAACTAATTATTTTTGAACTTTTTAAATTTTTTATTAATAAAATTCTTATTTTATCTAGCAAATTTCTGATAAAATTTTGATGAACATCCTTCTGACTTTTAATTAATTTTTTTTATAAATTTATTAACAATAATAGTAACTTTTTATTAAACTGGGAAAAATTGTTGTGAATTGTAGAAAATTTTTCATTATTTGCAATCGACAATTAACTGTCGGCTGTACAAAGAAGAAACAAATTATAATGTACTACAAACTGGTAATATAACAAGGCTAAACTTTCTTCCTTACCATCTCGACCCGAAGCCGACGGCAGATGGCGTTAGCGTCGACTTGAACAGACAAAAGTCCAAAAAAAGTAGCCTTGAATGTGGTTTTATTTTTCACGCGACTTGTTAAAAGTTCAAGAGGAGTACTTGGCACATTGCCCGAAGCCTCTGAAAAGATAAAACAAAATTAAGATATATGAGAAGATGATGAATTCTTCAGGGCTTAAAACTAGGCTAATTTTTGATACCCGAGATATGTCTGATTAACTTGATTTTAGCGTCGGATCTCGAAGTACTAGTTAATTTAAATATTCCGTCGCCTTATCATTATCAATTTCTTCCTATTTCAGCCCTATTCGCTTATCAAAAACAACTCTAATTAATGAGACAAATATTTACCGAAAAATCCATTTTTAATTTGAGTAAAACCAAATATAAAATAAAATAAACCGTATTATTGAATTTTTTGCCAGCCTCAGCTCAGGCTTGCTAAAGTGAAAATATACATTTAAATAATCACTTAGAGCCACCCCAATCCCAAGATAGAACCCGAGTGTTTTTTCCGTTCCCGGGAGTTTATTTCGCGAATGTAAGTAAAATATTAATCCGAATTTGTATCATAGTTTTATTTTAACCAGCGGTTTTTTTTCCCTCCGGGCATTGCAAGCTTCACCACGTACGATTGCTTCTTCGAACGTCAAAATACGGACGTGCCGAGTATCTAAATGACAATCACAATATACGCACTGGGTAATTTATTTTTTTATCACCCTCTTTCATTTTTGGCACAACAATTTCGCCTCCCCCTTTTTTTTTTTTTTTTCTTATTTTGATTTTGTCGAAGAACCAGAGACAAAAAGGGGATAATAACACGTATCGTTCTTTTAGACGCACCCCTCCTCCATTCTATTTCCTGTGACTGATTCTTATATTCCCTTAAGGCATATTGAGACTCATGTCGTTACAACGGAACAACAACAGCAAGTACTATACCAGCACACGTCACCCGGCATTTCAAATTCTTATTTCACTTGGGATAAGCTAAATCCCATTAGACTCTCTGTACTCTCTACTCTGCACTATGTACTCTCTACTCAGGAAATGACACATTTCAAATATCAACTAAATAATTGAAATCCAGCCTACAATACTCTCGGGTTATTACCTGTCAAATTTTATACCAAATATTTTGACAGTTTAATTACAACACTTTCATTTTTTTGAAAGCAACCAACTAAACAATATTAATACACTGTAAAAAAAAAAGCGGTGTTAAAATGGACTCATTTTAACACCACTGTGTATTAACACCGGTGTAGCGGTGCTCTTTTGCGGTGTTAAAAATCCGGTGTTAAACCGGTGTAACAGTAGAATAAATTTACACCGTATCGGAGTATAAATATTACATGATACATAAAACACAATTAATATTCAATATTTGTCAAAATGAGACAAATAACATTTATTTAAGAATTTTTAATTTATAAAATTACGCAGAAATCGATTTAATGAATGTTATACAACAAGTTAAATAATATTTACAATATTAAATGTTTAGGAACAATATAATAATTATTTTTATCGTAACCATGATGTTTCTCATAATATAATGGATGTTTTAAACATGATAAATTAATAATTTGATAACTTTGCTTTTTTTTTCAGATATTTCATTTGCACATAAACTCATATTGTAACACATAATAATCTCCCATAGCTTCCACAACAGTATTATATCATCATTATAAAAGAAAATTCTTTTAATTTCACTGTAAATAGGTAATCCGTAAATTCTTAAATTGTCCCAAAAACGTCCTAAAGTTGTCCAAAAAATTTTTCATTCATTAATTTCGGGACAAATCTACAGCTGTGCAAAAATAAATTATCTCTATGAAAATCATTTAAAAAAGTTCAAAATTGTCGTAAAAATGTTTTAAATTTGTTGTAAAAACACTCTAAAACTGTCCAAGAAATGTTCCAAAATTGTCTCAAAAGTATTTAAAATTTGTTCTCAAATAGTTAAAAAAATGTTTTAAGATTATTCAAAAAAGGTTCCACATATATAAGATTTAAGGACAAAATTTCAACTAAATTGCTTCAAATAAATTTCATTGATTCTAAAATTATCTTAGAAGTATTCCGAAAATCTTCAAAAAAAATACTCAAGAGTTATGAAACAATTACTAAAATGCACTATTTTGAAGTTTCCGATTGTTAATATGATGTTCCAAAATGCTCCCGAAATTCTCCGGGTCCATTTTTACATCGAAATTTTTTACAGTGTATTTATTTTAATTAAAAATTTTTATCTACTTAATATTTTATTATCTTAAACTTTCTAAATTAAATATTAACTTTTTTCGAATATTTATTTTTAATTATTAAACATAAAAATTGTCTTAGTTAAAATATTATCAATACCGGAAAATTTATAACATCAAAAAAAAATATTTACACCGCGAACGGTGTTACTGCTACACCGATTTCGGTGTTGAATTTAACACCGGAATTTTTAACACTGTATACCGACATGGACTCACAACGGTTTTTTTTACAGTGTACAAATTTTCTTCCTTTTTTTATTTGCAATATTTATCTTTATCAAAAACTGCAAGCTTCAAATTAAAGCCCTCGAAATAATTGGAAACCTTTCGAAAGTTTAAAACATACAAACAGAGTTTGCTTTTCGCTCTCCATTTATTTGGTTACGATCCAGTGATGCATGTCAACACATGTTGCGTCATTACGTTAGAGTATCATTTTCTTCTGGGTCTAAATTTGCACTATTTATATTTACACCATCTCTATTTAATTTTATTCCAATTAAATCGCATGTTTTAAACACGTGTCGATACATATATACATACTTTTATATTTAAAGCAAACAAATTTGCCGGGAACAAACATTGAAAATTAAAAAAAACACTTGAATTTAACGGAAATTGTTTCTGTCAATCAATCAAATACACTGTTGGGAAATAAATTGTGCGACTTTCTGCTGAAACAGCACTTTTGATCGCGCGAGCATGTCAATTTTGATATCAACTCCTCTTATATTAGATCCTCTGTCTATAGCCAACTTTACAACTATATATGTTCCGTGTATTGAAATTTGCAAGACGGGCGGTTCGATTAAGCCACCAAATATCGATTCATTCATGAATAAGTCTTGTTACTTCACTTCGAGACATATGACGCGTTGTAATTAATTTAGAATGACCCTAAGAGTTGGATCGACAAGATTATATAAATTTTAATTATTAATTATTATGGCCAATATCGATGCATCTAATTAATATTGCTCACTAATTAATTTAATATATTTTATACTGATTATGAGAAAAGTTATTATTGAAATGTGCGTCTTGAAACTTTCGTCGTACTTCAACTTGCTAATTATAATATTAATTATATTCCAATACTTTTATTAGAGAAAAAAAATTTTTTCATTATCTTAGAATTTCTTGCTAATTTTCTTCCCTGTTATACATAAAGTTTTAATTTAATTTCTATTTATAATTGCTAATTTTTAAGTGCTATTGATTTTTATCTTATAAAATTTAATAGAAAAAAAAAAAAAAATTATAATAACTTTAATTAAAAGATAAAAATAAAAATGATTATTTAATTAACAGAATTACGATCGTAGCTATTTATTGACAGAAAAAAAAGTACTGAAATAACTAATTGCAATGTCAAAGGTGTAAATAAAATGTCAACCAGTAATTAATAATTAATTATCGGTAGTACATTGGATATTTCCTTCTTAATTCTCGCAACACTTATTTTATTTTTAATTAACATTCTTTTATTTTGTTTTACATTCTAGTTTAATTAATTAAATATTGTAAGCTTGCTTGAAAATAAATCATAAATAATATTCTTCAAATAAATGATGACCCAACAATTTCTGTTTACATATGGGGCATTCCATGCCAAATCGACCACTTTTGACACTGACCCTTTTCGATTTTTCTGAAAATTTGGTATCTTTCTCTACCCTATTGGAAACAATTTTCAGAATTTTTTTCAAATTTTTTTACCCAACCAAAAAAAAAGTTACGAGTTATTACAAAAAAACAGCTTTTTTTTTTTGTTAAATAACCATAACTTTTTTGAAAATTGACTTTTTGGGATGTTTTTTTTTTTGAAATTTTTGTCTTTAAATGTACCTTAAAAAAAAAAAAATAAAAATAATAATTCGGATTCATATTCAATGTTTTTTTTTAACTTTTTGGAAAAAAAACGAAAATTTCGGGATGATTGACATTTTTGATTTTCGATTTTTCTTTTTTATAAAAAAACTTCAGTATTTTTTG